AAAAAAGAATGCATGCTAGAATAATTTTTTTTTGTTTACAAGCAGATACCATGTTCTTTTGATGTTTTGTATGTTCAGATATTCAGATAACAAAATATATATAAATTAATACCTAAATAGGGACATAGTAGCATACTTAAAGTATGATGTAACGTTCACTTAAAGAAAACGTACGAGTATACAGTATACAGTATATTGCAGTATACAACTACTAAACTAGTAGTTTACTAGGACTATACTTCAAAGTGTACTAAAAATGCTACTACAAGTATTTAATTAGTAAACTATCAGTATGCCTATAAGTTCACTTTTAGTATAGTTGCAGTACAAACTAAACATTTTGATGTACAGTAAACTAGTTGTGTACTCAAAGTTTACTACTGTTATACTTAAAGTATACTTAAAAGTATACTTTTATATACTAGAAAGTGGGCCAATTTAGTCCCAAGGAGTATTGAAATAGTACACTTACAAGTATACTACTAGTACACTGATATTTGTATACTTACTACATAAAGTATACTTAAAAATATACTTGAACTTTACTTAAGTATACTTACTAAAATAAACGAAGTATACTACTTTTTGGTAAGGGATCTCAGGAAAGAAATAAGGTAGGGGAAAAAAATCTTTTTTGGTGATGTTCTCCAACATGTTAGCTATATCTGATTTGAATTTTATGGCATAAACTATACAAAAGTTACAGCATTTTGGAACAAAAGAGGCCTTTTTGTTTTAGCCCTTGACACCCTGAAGGCATTTTAAAAATTGTTGTTTTCTGGTTGACATACACAAAAGTACCGCGCTGCGGGGCGGGGTGCGCGTGGCGAAACACGCACGCCAACTGTCATTGGCTTGTTTAGTTAACACTCGAAGGTGATTGGGCTCTCGGGCGAGATCCCAATTCGTCAGTCACTGACGTAACGTCTCCGTTCCCTCCTTCAGGGAACGAGGGTTACACAAGAAACCTAGACGATAGAACACTTTCTGTATTCTTAGCCCTGTTTCTTTACATTTGGACATTTTCATGCTGAGAAAAGGTGATAAAATATAAGAAAAATTTGTGTGCTCAAGGGAAATGTTTCATATCTTCCTTATTTGCCATTCATTATCTCTGGAAAACAATAAGGTAGGAGACAAATTATTTTTTGGTGATGTTTCCCAACATGTGAGCTGTATGTGAATTAATTTTTTTTTAAACAGTTTTGAAATGGTTGTTTCTGAGTAACATACACATAAGTTTAGTCAAAGCCCTAAACAGTTATGCTTGTTTTATTCTACTCTGTGAGACCTTTCAATTGACACATGACACATGCATATCTGAGCTGTATGATGTTTTTGACATACACGGTACAAAAAACATATTTCATAAATTATGAAAACATTTTGTTCTATTTATCAGCAAATAACTCAGCACTTCTAAGAAGTTAAAGTGGCCACGTGCATTGTAAAATTCAGACTCTAAGCTTTCAAATGACACCTATTGTGTGTTGATCAAGGCAGTGGTTTTGAAAAATATGATTATTATTTTTTAAAGAGTTGATCAAAATGGTTAGATGCATTCGAAAGCTGAATTTCTAAGCTTTAAAATGGTACCTAATTATATTTTTAAAACGTTATAAAAAAGATAAAATAGACAGAAACATGCTGGCTTTTACATTTTACTTGCCTAGTGTTCAATAAAGCTCTGCAACTGATTTATTCAATTCATGTATTTAGGTATTACTTACACACGAAAGATGCTATGGATTATTTTGGACTCAATTTTTCAATCGTGAGAATCTGCTGTAAATAATACCGTGCTATTTTGCACGATCGGAGCATAAAAACCATGTGAAAGTTATAACACATGCGCCTTTGGGGTTTTATGTTTTAGACTTTGATAAGGAATATCTTTAGATCTAAATGACAGATTATGGTGCATTTGGGCTCTTCTTAATCAAGAGAATTTTCTGCAAGTTCACGATCTATGCATGTTTCGTGAAGTTATGAACGGAAACGCCACGTGAAATGTACAGTTGTTTATTTATTTTTTGCTGCGCCTCACTTGCACCCGTCTGGTTTTATGTGTTACAGCTCTATGAGGAATATCTTCTAAATGATGGATTATAATGAGTTTGGGTTCTTTTAAATCAGGAGAATCTGCTCTCAATAATGATGTGTATTCCACGTTCTGAGCATGTTTTATGAAGTTGCAAGCAATAAAGTGACATAAATGCCACGGTACACACCATTTTAGATGGACTACTCAGCGCTCGTTAAGAGTTAATCAAAATAATTATTCATTAAAAGCTGAGTTTCTAAGCTTTAAAATAATACCTATTTTGTGTTGTTCCATTTTGCTTAATTTGCTTATGAATGTTTTTGTGGGGGTGGGGGTATAACCATACCATGTTTAACCATATTTTAATTAGTCGAATTATGACATTACATATAAAGATGTACTTAAGTCTTACTTAAGTGAAAAGGTCAAAACCACTCTAAAGTTAAGCTAATTGCATTTAATATACATTTAAACTTTACTACATTTTCATTAAATTGCAATTAACATTCAATTAAGTGTCCAAACATTTCATTCAGGTCACACATAATTATATTCTATTAAAGTATATTATTTCCATAATAGGTACTCAACCTGTACTTCTTTTTCTTTTTTTCTTCTTCTTTTTTTTTGTGTGTCTGCCCAGGAACTTTTAAACACTTGTGAACTGTAAACAACACACACATTCATTCTCTCTCGCTCTCTCTCTTACATTAATACACACAGGATTGTAGGATTTCACTCTTAAAAGCACTTAGTTATAAATCTGATTTGAACGCAGGTTATGTATTGAGTGCAAGATGTTTAAAACTTGCACAACGAACACTATTTTTTAAAACGGTTAAAAAGTTTAAGTTTTAACCTCCGAAAACTCAGTAACATCGTGAAGTTTCCAATCAACTGTCCTGCACTGACTCAGTGTCAGACCTCGTGGATTTTTAAACAACACAATTCATCTCTTCGAACTAGCTTGCATCTAATCCAAAATATCTCACTGTGA